GCTTGCCCCTGCCTGCAGAGCTCGCCTAGCACCTGTTCACAGGTGTGCCTGGGCCAGATGCGTGTCTGACAGGGACGTCAGGTTTGGGGAGACTGAAAACCCTTGTTGAGAATGAAGTTATCCTGATACGATTTAGTGTTATGTCAACATAATTGGCAGCAGAGAAGGTTGCACATCACTCATGGCAGATCTGTCACATGGGCCATGGGCCAAGCTGTGTGCATCAGGTGCTGGGAGGATCCAGGTGGGCGAAACAGACCTGCAGGAAAATACGTGGAAATGGGGACAAAATTGGCATTTAAAAAGCGACATTCAGCTTGAAACTGGATGTAGCATTTGGTGATATGCTCTAAAATTTTAGTGGAAAAAAGATCTCCCTTTGGGAGGCTGAGGCAGGTGGACCACTTGAGCCCAGGAGTTCAAGACCAGCCTGGGTAACATAATGAGGCCCCACCTCATTTACCCAGGTATGCCGGCGCATGTCCGTGGTCCCGGCTACTCGGAGGGCTGAGGTGGGAGGATCTCTTGAGCCTGGGCAGTCGAGGTTGCAGTGAACCTGTCCGTGCCACCGCACTCCAGCGTAGGCAACAGAGTGAGACTGTATCTCAAACACACACACACACACACACACAACAACAACAACAACAACAATGAAAAATCTAATGACTGGGATGAGATCTGATGAAATGGTGGGGTTGAATTTAAAATGATGCGAGTGGTGGTGCCAGCAGAATACCAGCTTGTTGCCAACCATGCTGTCATCCTAAGGCTCTCCTTCTGTGGTTAAAGTGGTTCAAGTGCAGAAAATGAATTTTAAAGTGTTACCTACCTGCCAGCCCAGGCTTCTCAAGGCCCAGTGGTCCTATTGAGCTGTGTCTGCACCTATCAGTAGTGCCCTGCAGGACCTTTTTAAAGACATTCTTGAATTCTTACAACCTGGTTGCTTGAGCACCTGGCTGACTTTTATCTTATTATTCACCTTTGGGTTTGTGGCAAATACTTAGCAGCATTTAATTTTTGCTTTCTAAGGGTAATACAAAAAAAAAAATCATGCAAATCAATTACCAGTATCTAGTGTTTGAAACTGTAAAATGCTGCAAAGAACTATTAATTATACTGTGTACCTGGGGAGGGAAGTGTAAACCGACTTTAGGATTCGAAGAGACCTTGCTGATAAGAGAAGGAATCACTGCTGCTTTTAGAGGCAGTGAAAGCTGGGCCTGGAGTCCTTTGCTTGAGGTCACAAAGCCAGAGACTTTAGAAGAGCAGAAGGGAGAAGGCTCAGTGCCCTCCTAGGGAAGCTTTTGTAACTTGAATGTTGTGATTCAGCCACCTGGAAGCTTCTTCACTTGTGAACGTGACTCTGCAAAAACACGTTAGAGGAAGCAAAGGAGAGGATGGACGTGAAATCGTCCTGCATGTACTCACCGGAATGCAGCAGGGAGGGTCGTCTGCCAAGGCGTCATGGTCATTCCACGAGAGCTGGGTGGTGACACTCCCCAAGTCCCCACTCCCAGGGAGGTAGGCAGCCGAGGGACACTGGCATTGCAGCGCCCCTGGGACAGGCCCCACTCCTCCCTTCTTGCTCTGGAGGTGACACAGTGTAGTGATTGAGGAATGGGACCTGGGGCCAGCGTGCCTCGACAAGACGAAGCCTCAGCAAAGTTGAACCCTACGGTTCATCTAGCGGGGAGGGCTTCCACGTACTCTTGTATCTGGGGCAGCCGTCAGAGGGCAGGGCTGGAGCCAGGGCTCTGTAGGGCAATCAGCGTCCGGAGGGCACAGAGGAGCACATGGGGGGCTCAGGCCACAGGGTCAGGACGATGTCGCGGTGAGATCCGTCTGCTGTGCTATATGTTAGGGGAAGGAGGAGCCGAGGCCGGGAGTGGGCACGGACAGGTGGGAAACTTGTGCAGAAACCTAGCGAAGAAGTGTAGATTTCAATGAATGTGAGGGGTAGGGAAGGAGAGCAGAGGGAGATGAAGATACTTGGGGGTGAGGTAAGTGGGGTGGGGGTGATGAGGATACCTGTTCACTGAGCTCTCTGTCCCAAGCAGGATTCTAAGTGCTTTTCATGCGTTAACTCATTAAGGAAGGCTCTGTTTACCCCCATTTCACAGGTGAGGAAACTGAGGCACCGAGCAGTTGAGTTATTTGCCGCAGGTCACCCAGCCAGGGAGGGCTAGACAGGGATTTGAACCTGGTGGGCTGGTACCTGGGGCCATGCACAGATCAGGGTATAGAGGAGATTTTTCTCCAAATAAAGAATAACAGATTTCCTTTTCAAATGTTATTTTTCTTTTTCTTTTTATTTTTATAATTTTTTTGAGACACAGTCTTAGGCTGGAGCAGTGGCGCGATCTTGGCTCACTGCAACCTCCGCCTCCCAGGTTCAAGCAGTTCTCCTGTCTCAGTCTCCCAAGTAGCTGGGATTACAGGCACCAGTCACCACACCTGGCTGATTTTGTATTTTTAGTAGAGACAGGGTTTCACCATGTTGGTCAGGCTGGTCTCGAACTCCTGACCTCAGGTGATCCACCTGCCTTGGCCTCCCAAAGTGCTGGGATAACAGGTGTGAGCCACCACATTCAGCCTCAAATGTTATTTTTCTTAAAAGGGTCACATTCGATTCATGTCTCCAAGATATAGCAGGTTTCCAGCATCTCTTTTTTTTTTTTTTTTTTTTTGAGACGGAGTCTCGCTCTGTCGCCCAGGCTGGAGTGCAGTGGCGCGATCTCGGCTCACTGCAAGCTCCGCCTCCCGGGTTCACGCCATTCTCCTGCCTCAGCCTCCCGAGTAGCTGGGACTACAGGCGCCCACAACCGCGCCCGGCTAATTTTTTGTATTTTTAGTAGAGACGGGGTTTCACCGTGGTCTCGATCTCCTGACCTTGTGATCCGCCCGCCTCGGCCTCCCAAAGTGCTGGGATTACAGGCGTGAGCCACCGCGCCCGGCCTCCAGCATCTCTTTTTAAAAGGTTTTTTTAAAGAGAAATAATATTGCTATCACTGTTGCAGATTTTTCTGTTGTAAGCAGGTTTATTCAATGTTAAATATGACTTTTATAAAAGCAGGTTAAAAGAATCTTGGCAGAAATTTCGAGTAAGACCAGGCCGGGTACTTTTCAGGGTGCTTTGTGTCAACTCGTTACTCCTCACCTGCTAGGACATCATCCTCTTTGCATCTGGGGACACTGAGGTGGGTAGAGGTGAGGCGAGGCTACACAGCTGTGTGTGGCAGAGCCAGGGTTCAGGCAGAGCTAGACCAGTATCGGGGTCTGGGGGCGACCGTCTGCATCAGCTTCACATACGTGGGGACGTCCACCTGTGTCAGATGTTTCCCAGCTTGTTTCATGATGACAACAGCTCTGCTAGAAAAGCAGTTTCCTTTTTGCCTATGAGCACTCTCGATTCAGGGGCCCTGAGTCTTTGGGCCCCTCGTGCAGCTGGGCCTCACCCTGTCTGGACCCAGCATCCTAACTGGCCTGGCTCTGTCCCCTGCTAATGGACCTCAGCCTGGCTGTTTCCAGCAGGCCCTACCCTCTTGTTTCAGTGATGGGGGGACAGCAAAATGAGAGTTTACCTGCTTTAATATCAAAAGGTTTTCTTCATTGTTGTGTTATTGAGTGAACTGAACAGCAGATTTATTTGCTTTAGCAAATGCAACTGCCTGTGATGGTGGCATAGGTGTTGAGTGTGACCACACGAGCGCGGCGGGAGTTTGCGGGAATGGGCCAGTACCCCAGTCAGCCCTCTGTGGCCTCAGAGGGTAGCTGCCCGTCTGGAGGGCCTCGGACACTTTCAGGCTGGGATGGGTACTCTGATTTTTTGCTTCTCAGGCACTGATGTGGTTCAGACCCGGGATTCTAGGAGGGAAGGTTCCTGTCGCAGGGGAGGGAGTCAGACGTGTCTCTGGGTGGCAGAGGAGCTGGCAGGTAGCCTCTGGGCTACCAGTGGAGCACTACCCAGTCCTCTGGATCCAGTGATTTGGGGTTTAGACAGGGTTTCTGGAAGACATCCGCACAGAGGAGCAGAAGAGGAGAGCTGGGAACTGATGCGTGCCTTCCTCTCTCTAAAACGAGAGTTCCGAGTCCCTGTGAGGGTTCCCTAGCGTGGTCTCAGAGCCCAGGATCTGGAGGGGGCGTCTGTCGTTGGAGAAGGCAGAGGAGCCAGGGTGGAGTCCTTCCCGCTGCCGAGGAGGAGCAGGGCTGGCCTAGAGGGCCGGCTGGGCACTGCAGCCACCTTGTACCATCCCCTCCTGAGAGCGTCAGGGGCCGGGACATCCAGGGTAGCACCGGGCCACTCATGCCCGTCCCCCCCCTCGTGGTCTCCTCTGTTCCTGCAGGGTCCCGGTGGTCTCCCGCTAACCCCGCGTGGTCTCTAACGCCTGCTGTCAGCTGCTGCTCTGCTGTCTCCACCTGTGTGGAGGTCCCATCCAGTAGTTTCTGTCTAACCCGTGTGTAGTAGTGAAGCGTCCCTCCCCTAATTGTGGCCTGTGACTCTGGAAACACCATTCTCATGATGTTCTATGTCTCCCTTTCAAGAACTGGGTTTCTCTTGAGGAGAATACAGGTTCTCGGCCCTGTCATTTACCAAGAGGTTGCAGATCAGGCACCTGTTAAGCATGAAAAATTTGTTTTCAGTTTCGTGAACCCAACAAGAGAATGACAATTTTGATGTTCTCTGTTTCCCAGTGAGTGAGAATTCCTGAATTTACCTAGAGAGCCCACATGAAAAGTCCACACTTCTCGGCCACGAGTGACTGGCATTGCAAAGGAGGCTGTGCCTTCTAACTGGAAACGCACACGGGTTCTTAAAGACGAACATTTAAATCTGAGTTCAGCTCTGTTAAAATTCAGCGTTGGCTGGCGACATCCTAAGTACTTAGTTGCCTCCAGGGCGACAGCCTAGGGTGTATTTTTCCACAAGCGAAGCCCACGTCTGTCTGCCCTGCTCACTCTCTGCTGTTCTTGTGTAACGAGGTGCTTTGTGTGTGTGGCAGGTGGCAGGTTCAAGAAAGAGATTGTCGTTGACGGACAGAGCTATCTGCTGCTGATTAGAGACGAAGGGGGCCCCCCGGAGGCGCAGGTGAGTACACGCACACGCCCCAAGCCAGCTGTTTTCCCTTTGTTTTCTAAGGTTTCGTGCAACACATGCTTCTAGAAACCAGTGACGTGCTTTCCAAAAAAGTGGAAGTCCCTTAAAAAATGTTTCCTGTCACTGCATTTTTTCTCATCTCTAAGAAGCTAAGTCTTTTCTTCCACCACCTCCCTGCCCAGACTAAATCCTACAGAGAAGTTGGGTTTATATGGTAGCTTTTCACTTTCTGTGTTTTTAAAAAGGCAGGAAATGCACCCCCTGCCCTGGTTGGGGAACCCAGTTGAAATGACATCTGGACATTTCTGTAGTTTGGTTTGTGTTTTGGCCTTTTCCTTTGAGTGGTGTGATCTCTAGAGCAGTGAGATGTAGAGAGCTTGCTGGGCGGAATTTGGAGTCCCGTCTTCTCTCTGTCTCTGCTAACTGTAGGCGTTGGCGCCTCTGTGCCTCCCTGGCCTTGGCCCAAGCAAGGCGGTCTCCACTGAAAGCTGGTATGAAGCATATTATGATTTCTTTGGAAGTTCCTGGAAAGATGGGCATTCTGGAAATAACAAAGCATGAGTGTGGAAGATCTCTTTTTTTGGTTTCTTTAACCTGCTTTGTTTTACTTGAAGCATAATTTACCGAGTAAACACTTGAAAGGAGCCAGGAGCTAGTAAATGCAAACTGAATGTCAAAGATTTTTTTGGCGTTATCTCCTGGACCTGTCTTTTTGTGAACATGCAGCATAGGATTGTAAGATGATGAAAGTGAAAGATACTGAATACAGGACTTCTTAGGCCTCAGGTCTAGTACTCCACACATCGGAGGGCTGTGTGGTTATACAGAAGATGCCACAGATTTGCCATGTGCCATTGACTAAAACACCAGTGACCTTAGGATGTACCAATATTCAAAAGGAGAATGCTGCCAATTAAACTGGGAAACAGCCGCAATAATTAGGCGCATTCTGATTTCAAAGATGTTAAAGTGTGTAACATTTTGTTTCTTAGCATTAAGGATACCATATGCTGATCATAATAAGGAAAGACCTTGAAGACATGTTGAAAGTGAAAACTTAGTTGCAAAGCAGTTTGAGCCCATGTTCAGTGACCATCTGGTAGTTTATAGTAAGGCAGGGCAGAGTTAGAGGTCTGACTGACAGGATCCTCGGTTTGTGATGCTGATCAAAGTCAGCTCGTTCTTAGTCCCACTGAGGGTATAGGACTGTGTTCTGCTGCACAGGAACTCTTGGGTGCAAGGGCCCTCCTGTGGCTGGTGATCGGAGAAAGAAGTAGGTAACAGTTAGAATCACCTGAGTTTATTTTCCGTTTTCCCCAGCACGTAAATGTTTTGAGTGACTGGAAACAAGCTTTTTTCTCCACAATTAAGGAGCAAGTCTTAGCAGTATATGAAGCACAAAATTGAATATGAAGCACAAAAGCTTATAGATACAGAAAAATCTACAGAAGAGGCTAGATGCAGTGGCTTACACCTGTAACCCGAGCACTTTGGGAAGCTTAGGCAAGCGGATCACCTGAGGTTGGGAATTCGAGACCAGCCCGGCCAACATGGTGAAACCCCATTTCTACTAAAAATACAAAAAGTAGCCAGGCGTGGTGGCGTGTACCTGTAATCCCAGCTACTTGGGAGGCTGAGGCAGCAGAATCGCTTAAACCCAGAAGGAGGCGGTTGCAGTGAACCGAGATCTCACCACTGCGCTCCAGCCTGGGCGACAGAGCGAGACTTTGTCTCAAAAAACAAACAAAAAAAACCCCAAAGCATAGTTTCAGTTTTCTGCTGGTGAACATGTTAGAGTGGGGGGTTATGTATTGGGTACCCCCCACACAAGGAGCGTGGAAGTCAGAATGCACCCTTAGGGGATGACGGCCACAGTGCATGTTTCCTCCGAGTGGACGCTCAGATGGGCTTCAGCTCCTGATTTGGGAACTGAGGTCTGGTTCAGGTCAGCCAGCGCTCTTCATGGCGCAGGGGGAGTGTGCTCCCACGTGTTTGGAAGAGACAGGAAGAGCCTTCCTCAAGGCAGAGAAGAGGAAAAGGAGATGCCTTTCATCAGTCTAGGTCCTGCTGCACTCTGTGGGAGCTGCCATCGCGGTCTTCCCAGGTCTCTCCCAGCCGCCTTTGTTGGACTTGAAGTCCTCATTCTCATTTAATTTTGTATTTATCATTAGAACTTTGGGTTAAGTTTTCTTGTGTAAACGTTTTACATATAACTGAATACACTTTTCACTTATATGCGGAAGTCAGAGTTTAACCCATTAAAAACTTTCCCCAAATGTATTAGAGGTGATAACCTTGTCCATAGAAACCTATCTAGGAACTACAGCTGCTTTTAGAGAGAAGGGAAACAGGATGCATTTCGGTTTTGTTTTTCAAATTTCCGCTTGGAAAGAGAAGGATCTTTGTTGCCTGATAGACCTGATGTCAGATGTGCTGAGCCAGTTGCAGCGAGTGTGGGAAGCCTCTGCCCTGCAGGGAGGCTCTACTCACTCAGCTCCAGTTTTGCAAGATGGTTATTGGAACTAAATGAGGTATTAATATATGCCTGACAGTGTGGGTATTTGTCAGAAAGAGGATGTGATGTAGGTTAAACTGGCAAGACAAGAATAAAGTGAGTACAGCAAAGCAAGAACAAAATGGCAAGAGTCAGGCTTTCTTCCCTAAGTTTTGTTAGTTTCCCTGAAAATAAGTAGTCATTTTCTTGCAGGGGTGCTGCAGGAGTTCGGCCAAGGCTGAGCCTGGGTTGAATCTTTACCCTTCGGCAGAGTAGGCCGGCTGCTGCAGTGGCGAGTGGGGAGGACTGTGGGGTGGGGGGTTCTGAGCAGGCCTGAGGGGTCCAGCAAGGCTTCCTTAAGAGATTGGGAGTACAGTGGAAAGCCTCGGGGTTTGAGAGGCTCTGGCAGGAGGTGGGGCCGGCCACCTGTCTGTGGGACAGCAGGTGGACAGGCCAGGAGCATGAGGACCGCGGGGAGACTGTGTGGTTTGTGTCCTCTGAAGACAGAGCGTCTTGGGTGGGAGCAGGATGAAGGGCCCATTCCCGAGGGGAACACCGCCCACGGTGTGCTCAGGAGGAGGACGTTGGTGCCGTGACAGTGTGTGACGGTGACGGTCAAGTCAGGCACCCAGCACGCGACCGAGGGGATTCCTGCAGCCCCTGCTGCCCGCCACCGTCCAGACGTCTGTTCTTAATTAAGCCTTCTCACTCAGCTCCTGCTGTCCTCCCCTTCTTCTCTCCCTAGTTTGCCATGTGGGTGGACGCTGTTATATTTGTCTTCAGCTTGGAGGATGAAATAAGTTTCCAGACCGTTTACCACTACTACAGTCGAATGGCCAGCTATCGGAACACGAGCGAGATTCCTCTGGTTCTCGTGGGAACCCAGGGTGAGTGATGCTCGTGTGCAGGTGGTTTTCAGAGGATTCTGACAGTTACGTATTTTCGGTATGGGGGAGTTTAAAAATGCTTTAAAAAAGGAAAAATTGCCTACTGAACGCTCACTGTTTTTGGGAAAAATCGTGAAACTGAAATTATCACATTTCCTGATTGGATTTTATGGTGAAACCACTCATTTAACAACCTGAAAACAACACACACACACATATCTTAGGTGCTTTAGGAAAAATAAATCTATTTTCCCTTGTTTTCTGGGAAAAAAAAATATATATATATATATGTGTGTGTGTGTATATGTTTTGTATATAAACATATATAGTCAAATACATATATTGTTTTCTGCTGTATTTTAATTCTCCGTTCTATAAAATGATTTATAAACAATCTATTAAAGCTTGTCTTTCAGTGCATCTTGAAAATAGTGCTGATTTTCAGCATAAGAGCAGTTCCGTTTATTAAGTTCTATTTGTCACCGTCTTGTGATCTGTATCTCATATTTAATCTAGCAGGCCCCTCAGAGAGCGTAGAATCATACTGGGCACGTTTCTTGTTTTCCCTCAGGTCACTTCACGCTTGGTCTGTTAGTAGAGTGGCTGTCACATGGACTGAGGCACAGCATCCTCGCTCTTGATCACAGACCCATGGCTGTGCTGGGGTCTGCCACTAGGGTCTACGACGTTACATAGGATGTTTTTAAAAGCCAGGTGGAGGTTAGCTTTAAAACTGCTTTGTCAGAAATATGGGTAACTGACAAATAATCCTGTCAGGAAAAATTGTATATCCCTTCATTTTGTTGTGGCTGTTAATAGACTGTCTTGCAAATTCTTTTAAAATTAGCCTATCTGACATGCCCGTCCATGCTCTGATGCGAGACGTTTCTCTTTAGGACGTCAGCTGTCCATACCGCACTGGGTGTGGTCTAAGTAGGAGGTTGCGCAGGCAAATGATTGGCAGCTTGATCAGGAACCTACAAAAGCCCAGATAAATAGTGTGGCATAAACTAAAAGCATTTTGCAGCCAGACATGGTGGCTCACACCTGTAATCCCAGCACTTTGGGAGGCCCAGGCGGGTGGATCACTTGAAGTCAGGAGTTGACCAGCCTGGCCAACATGGTGAAACCCCGTCTCTACTAAAAATAGAAAAATTAGCCAGGCATGGTGGCGCATGCCTGTAATACCAGCTACTCAGGAGGCTGAGGCAGGAGAATCACTTGAACCCAGGAAGCAGAGGTTGCAGTGAGCTGAGATCGCACCACTGCACTCCAGCCTGGGTGACAGAGTAAGATTCTGTCTCAAAAAAATAAAATAAAAAGCCAGGCATGCTGGCGGGTACCTGTAATCCCAGCTACTTGGGAGGCTGAGGCAGGAGAATCTTTTGAATCTGGGGAGGTGGAGGTTGCAGTGAGCCAAGATTGTGCCACTGCACTCCAGCCTGGTAGACAGAGGGAGACTCGATCTCAAGAAAAAAAAAAAAAACGGAAAAACTAAAAACATCTTCTCAGTGTGATAGATGGGAGGTGTTAGAGTTGGGCTTCCTGGAGAGCACCTCTCCACCCCGTTTTTTTTTTTTTTTAAAAAGCTCACGCGGAGTGGCCACCGGTCACTCTCCCTCCTGAAACCTTCAGAGCCAGAGCTCTGTTTATCCTCACTCGGAAGGGAGGAGGGATTCTTAGGCCTAACACGCCCTCTAGTGTTCACCAGGAGACAAGGCCGCACCACCAAAAAGTCCTTGGCTCTTGTGAGAATGCAGAATTGCCGTATTTGAGGTGGTGTCTTGAAAATTCCTCATCGTGTTTTCAAGTGGATGCTCATCCACAGCGGATTCTGCTTAAAGCCGCCTTGAAGTCGAATAGAGAAATTCCAAAAAAGCTCCTCTTCCCTCAGGCCCGACCGTGGCATTTCTGAGCAGAGTCCTTCGGGGCTATGCGGACACCACTCGTGGGCTGTTGGAGCTCAGGAGGTTTGATTTTAGGACTCAGAATGGGCTTTTGCTTGGACTCACTATGAAAAGTGGCAGTGAGGTTCCCAGCCTGGAAAGATTCTCTGCGATCAGGGTCTGTTCTCTGAGTTCTGAGTACACAGCCATGTTCCGCCAGTGGGAAGGGAGTGCCTGAGATCCCGGGAGTTGGGACCACACACACCTGCATGTGACTGGCTGCTGCTGGGTGACCGTGACCCCCGGGGCTCTGGTGGGGTTCAACAGGAATTCCCAAAAGACACTCACTGCATCCATGGGTAGGTGATAGGCGTCTAATGGTGGCTGCTTTTGTCCCTCATATTTCAATGTGTGACTGGTGTTCCAAGAGCCCTGCCTGGGATCCTGAACCCCACCCCCGACTATCCCTGCCCCTGGAGACAGCATATCCCTCTGAGTCTCCTGCCTGAGCCAAGGGGCACATCGAGCCTCCTGCCGGGATGGCTACTTAGATTCTCAGGAAACGCTAATGAAGTTGAAGTCCTTGAGTAAAAGAAAGTACCCCCGTTTATTCCCATGAATTCCATGAACATCCATTGATCGGATGTGGAAAGATGCCCAGGAAGACCACAGGGGAGTGTCTGCATGTGCGAGGGTGGCCTCCGGGGTGGGGAGGTAAAGCCGGCCCCACACCCTCCCTGGGCGAGCAGGTAAGCCGGCCCCATGCCCTCCCTGTGGGACTCCTTTTAGCTGGACCACCCCCGATGAACCAGAACGAAAAGTTCCTATTAGGGCTGCATTCCTCACCTGTGGGATTCTCTTGGTCCTTACCTAGATTTCAAGGAGCAGCCCAGCAGCCCGGTGGCAGGAAGCTGGCATGCACATGGGCTCGGAGGGTCCCTGCTGCGACGCTTGCTTCCTGCCTGCAGACTTGCTCTCTCTGAAGCCTGTGCTCGGCTGCTTTTGCAGGGACTTGGCTTCCTGGGCTGCCAGAGACAAAAGAGGGACCACGTTGTCCAAGAGGGCACCTGGCGTTTCTCTTCCTGCTGGTTTGGGGTAGGCGGCCAGAGAGGTCAGAGCATATGGGAGGGGAGAGAACCGAAGAGGAATTAGGTTCATTGCCAAAGAATGCCTGGGCTGGGGTGAGGCCTCCGCCCGCTGGCAGGAGGGGCAGCTCTGCCCACAGGAGCTCTTTCTGGGCAGTAGCTAAGGACTGCACGAATGTTCATAATTGGACAAGATGGGAATGAATGAGGTAATCATCTAATGTTTGTTAAACAGGTTCTGTTTTAAAGACTTGCAAATTAAATGGATTTGAGGGAGAAGCAGGATCTGTAAAAAGCTACGGAGTTAAAAGTGGAATGAAAATGAGACAGGTATAGAACCGAAATGCGAGTGCAGAAGCCGGTTTCCATGCAGTGGGAGAGATTCCCATGGTGCACCTTTGAAGCGGAAAGTTGACAGAAACCGAGTGAGCCACTGAGGACGGAGGGGCTGCGGGATCGCTGGGCCGCAGGTCAGGGTCTCGTGGAAGCTGAGTGGATGCCACGTGGCCTGTGTTTTCAAAATTATCCTAGAACATTGAGACATCATAGACTTTTAACTTCTTTCTACAATTAAAAAGAAATGTTTATACTTAAAAAAAAACTTTATTTTCTTAAATGTTGTGAAATGCAAGTGAGATTTACTAATCAGCAGGACAAGAAGGCAGGACGAGGTGCCCTTTGACTGTATCTCTGGAACGGGGGTGCAGCCTGTGGAGGCTGTAGTGGCAATTGTCAGAGGAAGAACCCTTAACTACAGAATTCAGTTGCCTTCTGGTAACGGAGAAACGTCAGCCCGAACCTATTTCATAGGGCTGAGAAAATAACATGAGAAAACAGAAAACGAAAAACTGAATACATTCCTGAGGACATCACGTTTTAAATATACTTTAGAAAATGGAGTTGCCAAATGCCCTTCCTCTACAAAAATAAAATGTCAAAGGCGGTCGCTCTGCAGTATAACTTTGCTACTATTTCTTTGGCTGGTAGAGAAATCCTGTCGGTGGATTTTTGTTTAAAGAGTTGTTTATTGTTTTCTTTGGCGTAAGAGCCTTCAAGCCCTATGAAAAAGATTCAAGTTAGGAAACTGTCTCTGAAGGCTGGGCACAGTGGCTCACGCCTGTAATCCCAGCACTTTGGGAGGCCCAGGCGGGTGGATCATTTGAGGCCAGGAGTTTGACACCAGCCTGGCCAACATGGTGAAACCCTGTGTCTACTAAAAATACAAAAAATTAGCTGGGCGTGGTGGTGGGTACCTGTAATCTCAGCTACTTGGGAGCCTGAGGCAGGAGAATCACTTGAAACCAGGAGGCAGAGGTTGCAGTGAGCCAGATCACGCCACTGTACTCCAGTCTGGGCGACAGAGTGAGACTCCATCTTATAAAAAAAAAAGAAAGAAAGAAAGAAAAAGAAAACCGTCTGTGAAAAGTCCTCTCTCTGCCCTAAGCCTCGTGGCTGTTCACATTCCAGCTCCTCATTTCTGTGTTCCATGTGCCACTGTAACTCAGTAGTAACAGAATGAATGGGGCGGGTCTGAGGGTGGGGAATCCTGGCAGCTGAACTTAAAAAAAAAAATGGCTTAGTTTCTTTTTTAGGAAACGGGTGCCAACATCCCTACAGCTGCTCAAACGCCCCCATGTGCACACATGACTTAGATTGGGTGGATTCAGGTCACCTGTGACCCTGAGGAGGTCCATCAGAACCTCAGGGGACTCGCTGCTCCCCTCTCCGCACACCTCCCTCACCCCCTAGGCCTCACCCCTGCAGTATCTCCCTCATATCCACCAGCTGCCCTGCCGCCCTCTGCCTCAGGCACTCTGCCCCAGGCAGTGGCTGCTGCACCCACCTGCTGCAGGTGAGGGTTCCCTGATCCCTTTAGCAAGGGCTGTAAAACCCAGACTCACCCAAGCCTCCTGACCTCCTTCCCGGCATCACTCACAGTGTGGCCATCTTACATTCAGAACCATTCATCACCTTCGTCTTTATTTTCTGCTTGCCTCTCTGGCCAGCTAGAATGTCTGTTTCATTCACTGGGGTGTCCCTGTGCATAGAACAGGAACAGACCCCAGTGCTCAGTGAGCATTTATTCAATGGGTCATTGGACAAGCGACCACGCCTGGAAGAAGAATGCCGGTGTCGGGAATATGCTTAGCCACCTGCGTGGTGCACAGAAGGGGACCTGCACCTAGGGACTGTGTGTGTGGTTTTTCCTTCTTTCTGAAGTATGTGTCCTCTAGACCCACATTTAAGTCTTGTTGCTTCTTTCTGAACATTATAAAATTTTAGTTTCAGAAGCTCTCCTGCAAAACACATTTCTACTAATGAATAACTTTCTCTGGTGTTTGAGTCTGTTATTTGGGAGGCAAACTACGCTCTACAAACTCCAGATTCATAGACTAATAACATTTCTGTTGAGTAAGGTACTGGTTTTCTGCGACGTGGGGCGTGTGGGAAGTAGTCGGAGCTGTCATTGTCACCGTGCCGTTACTGTTTTGGTCTTCTGTTCCAGATGCCATAAGTTCTACTAACCCGAGGGTCATCGATGACGCCAGGGCGAGGAAGCTCTCCAACGACCTGAAACGGTGCACGTACTACGAGACGTGTGCTACCTACGGGCTGAACGTGGAGAGGGTCTTCCAGGACGGTAAATGCGCACGGCTGGGAATTTACTTTCAGTTCACGATACAGGAGGCAGTTCAAGAAACCAGTCCTGCCTGCACTTGTGCACGTGGGTGGCGGAAATACGTCATTGATGGGTGGGCGTTAGTATCGAGAGCACTCCATTCCAGAGGCGACTCTCAGGTATGTTTCGGATATAAAGTGCCGTGTTCAGAAGAGACGACAAGACGTGGCTTGAGAACAGCCTGGTGTTGGGTCTGCGTGTCACTTATGGGGCCTTTTTGTATACAGGATAGAACATTTCTTGAGCTGTTGTTCATCCACGGGCTCCGTAAAACTTGTTTGTGAGCCATTTCTTTATTGTCATTGCCCATGCTTAATCCAATCGCGTCCTTTAAAGCAGTTTCAATATTTGATATCGGGCTTTGAGGAGAGAACTGAAAGGAGGAGAGAGAGTGGCAAGTTTGGACTTGCCCACCAAAAACGTAACAACATGGCACGGTGGGACTCACAGCCGCGAGTGAGGACCAGCCTTTTGGAATTGTTTTCAGGTGATTTTATTCATTATTGATCATCTGCCTTCAGGAACGGCCACAGATCAGACAGACAATTCTAGAAGAGCTGAGGTTCTGCCAGGGGGTCAGATACTGGTGGATGATGGTAGCTCCAGACGTCGGCTATGAGAGAGGAGCCTGTGGAGATGCGTGGAGTGGGTGGGGGAGGTGGCGTCACCCTGGGGATAGGAAGGTCTGGGGTGAATAAAGACTGATACTTCTAAATCCAGTCTTTTCACCCTGGGGGCTTGGGAGAGGCCTGGTGTTCTGGCAGAGGGTCGCACTGCTGGCGGGAGTGGTGGACATCACTTGTAGGTCCTCTCCCCTTCTGGTTTAAATCCGTGGGGGCCGAGCCACCTGTGCCCCTGCTCTGGTGCCGAGGGGATTGTTGGGGGCAGAGCAGGGCAGCCACGCTGGGGCTCTCCGGAGAGTGCCAGAGCCGCTCGGAGCTGGGAGGAGATGGAGGACTCGCCGCGCCCTGACCCCGAAGACCAGCTATGAAAGCAGTGACTACGGGACTGTTTCGGGACCTCCTCCAAATGGGGCAACCTGTGTTGTTCTTTTAAATGTTTCAATTAGTCTTCAGATGCCGTTGTAGAGATTCTGTACGTTCACTGTTCAACTCAGTTTCAAAGATGCCATCAGTTCCGTCAGTTCTCAGACTTGACGTTTTCTTTCCTGTAGCAGTGAGGTTCCTTTTCTGAGCCTGCCGTCTCTTCCCGCGCATCTCTGCCTCTCAGATACTCAGCTGCACTTCAGCACGTTGGTCCTAGTTAGTCCTTCACGGCTTCAACGTTTCTTCTCGCCTTTTCCAGTGCCAGTGCTGAAGAAGCGCAGGGTTCCCCTGAGAGGCAGCACGAAGTCGCTGGGGGCCCACAGCCCCTTCTTCCCTCCACTCACGTTTATTCCGGGCACCTCGTGCCGCCTCTGTTGGGAGAACGTCCTGTGGGGAGCAAACCTCATGTCAAGCCGTGCCGGTGAACGTTAGTGAGATGTTAGTAAGACTTGGAAGAACTGTGCAGGGAGGCCCTTGGAGCTCTTCCGAGAGGTGAACCCTCACGGAACAAGGTCACTGTCGGCCACCGCGCTGCTGAGGCCCCGTGAATGTTGAAGTAAAGCATTGTAGATGAAGCGTCCCTGGGCCCATGCATGAGGCCAGCTGCCTGTTTTCATAAATAGACTTTTCTTCTTTTTTTTAGACAGAGTCTCGCTCTGCCACCCAGGCTGGAGTGCAGGGGTGTGATCGGCTCACTGCAACCTCCACTTCCCAGGTTCAGGCAATTCTTGTGCCTCAGCCTCCCCAGTAGCTGGGATTACAGGCACTCGCCACCACACCTGGCTAATGTTTTATATTTTAGTAGAGACGGGATTTTCACCATGTTGCCCAAGTTAGTCTCAAACTCCTGAGTTCAGGCAGTCCACCGACCTTGACCTCCCAGAGTGCTAGGATTATAGGCATGAGCCACTGCGCCTGGCTGTAAATAGACTTTTGGTGACACAGAGCCACGCTTGGTGTCGATGGGCTGCAGCGGGTTTGGGCTGTTCTCCAGCTGTGACAGCAGAGATGAGGGTCTTTGCGGCCCGCAGAGCCCAGAATATTTCCTCTCTGGCCCGTGCAGAGAGCCTGCCAGTCCCCGATGCAGGATATCAGGGACTCAGTTGTCTGGGTAAGTTGAGTCTGCACAGTGACTCCTTTGCTTTTGTATTTATCATGGTTAACATACATGAGTTTTCCATAAATTGATGAACGTTCCTTATAAAAATAATGTTATCAGTTAACGAATGCTGGAGGATGTCAGGATGATGGTGCCTTCCTGCCAAACAGCCTATCTTCGGCCATTCTGGCTGCTCTAACAAGACCCAGTGGCTTACACAACAGACTTTTGTTTTTCCCAGTTATGGAGGATGGGGGTCCAGGGCCAGGTGCTGGTGGGTGTGGTGCCTGCCGAGGGCCATCCTCCTGGTGGGCTGTGTGCTCACATAGTGGAGAACAGAGGACATGAGCCCTCACCTGTCCCTTCCCATAAAGGCGCTTAACCCATCACAGGGCTCCACCCTTGTGATCAGTCACCTGGCAGAGGCCCCACTTTCCCCCTGAGGGTCGGGATTTCAGGGTAAGAATTTGGGTTGAGTTCCATACCATACCCAGCACGTTCGAGTCTGAGGACAGGCAGCCACCTCTGTGTTGGAAGTGTTTCATTTTTGTCAAGTTGGGGGCTTGGCAGGAGGAGAATAAGGACTGATATTTCTAAATATTTTTATTTAAAAATATTTAGATAAAGCGTTTCCATTGCCGTGACAGCTCATGTCACACCTCCCCAGGTAGTGCTGTGACGAGTGTCTGTGTTCATAGGCACAGGAGATTTCCATTCCGGTTTCGTGTTTTAGAAATAATACATTCTCTGCTGGGCACGGTGACTCACACCTGTAATCCCAGCACTTTGGGAGGCCGAGGCAGGCAGATCACCTGAAATCAGGAGTTTGAGACCAGCCTGGCTAACATGATGAAACCCCGCTTCTACTAATAATACAAAAAAATTAGCTGGGTGTGATGGCATGCACCTGTAATCCCACCTACTGAGGAAGCTGAGGCAGGAGAATCACATGAACCCCAGAGGTGGAGGTTGCAGTGAGCTGAGATTGTGCCATTGCACTCCAGCTTGGGCAACAAGAACAAAACTCCATCTCAAAAAGAAAAAAAGACATAATACATTCTCATTAAGTATTCAGATTTTGGCCAAGTGTGACGACTCACGCCTGTAATCCCAGCAGTTTGGGAGGCCGAGGCAGGTCTATCACCTGAGGCCAGGAGTTTGAGAGCAGCCTGGACAGCATGGCGAAACCCCATCTCTTCTAAAATTACAAAACATTAGCTGGGTGTGGTGGCGAGTGCCTGTAATCCCAGCTACTCAGGAGGCTGAAGCAGGAGAATTGCTTGAATCTGGGAAGCGGAGGTTGCAATGAGCCGAGATCGCACCACTGCACTCCAGCCTGGGTGACAGAGCGAGACACTGTCTCAAAGAAAAAAAAGTATTCGAATTTTATGGAATCTGAAAAGCAAATACCTGTGATGCTGCAACTACTGTGACTGTTGCGATTTTTTTGTGCTTCAAATATTTTCATATGAAGATACATTTTAAAAATCAGGGTTACTCTGCATATTTTATATAGTAGTTATATGGTATATGGTTTCTTATATATATTTTTTCACTTAAATCACAAGCACTCTCATTGTTAGTGATAAAAGTAGTTGCTGAGGAAGAGCTTTATTTAGTACTTAGCAATCCCTAACAATAACAGAGTAAAAATCCTCAAGGAAAGTTAAACATTGTAAGATTTATATAATGTTGAAGAAATTGTGGCTTAGAGAAATGACATAGCTTGACCCAAAGGGACACAGCCTGGACTGGATCCCCCGTCTTGGGACCTGAGAGCCGCAACTTAACCACAACACTGGAACATTTTGTCATTAAAATGGAAGCAAGTCAGGTCCTGGGGCGTCATAGAACCCCAGCTCTGCCCACAGGTCTGGGGAGGGCCTGGCAGGGTATGCACCCAGCCAGCAGGGCCCCTGCCCGCTCTGCCCACAGGTCTGGGGAGGGCTTTGCAGGGGACACACCCAGCCAGCAGGGCCCCTGCCCACTCGCAGACTCAGTTTATTCAGCTATCTCGATGACTCTCTGGCTTCTTTTTTGCCCTAGGGCTTACTTTGTTTATTTGCTTTTTATACCGATATATGGTAGAAAGAAAACATGAAGGAAAAGCGTGTAATTTCTACATAATGTTCGGCTTGTAAATAAAAGAAAAACCAATCCAGCTGCTTCCGTGGCCCTGCGGAGTCTGTGTTCCTGATTGGCTCTGTACTGAGGTTCATTTAAAAGGCCAGGGACCTTATTCTTTGCTTCTTCAACATTTGACTTAGTGTCTTGTAACAAAAGGACATTGTAAAAATTAATGAAGAAACATTGCATTCACTTTCCTGTTCACTTGTGTAGTCCTGTTTACTTTGCTTTCATTCATGGAGTTGCCAGATGGCTACTAGCAAGTGGCTTTAGGTATTGGGAAGCAGGCTAGCAAGCTGGTTCATCCATCCAGTCACTCGTTCGTCTGAGCACCAGCTTCCCACCCACTGTGCATCTGGTCGGTGGCTAGAGGCAGATTCTGAAGCCTGGGCAGGGTCCCCTTCTCCATGAAGTTAAGGTCCGCTAGGGAGCATAGACATCAAACAGTCACCCGGAAACATGACCTTGTGTCTTGCCCAGGGGTGGAGAAGAAGCGTGGCGGCCCAGGCCGTTTTCTGGGGGTCCTTCCCAGCAGCCTGGGAGTGTCTTCGCTCCTGCTCGCAGGCGAGATCGTGTGGCTTGCGGGGCAGGCGGGATCGTGTGGCTCGCGGGGCGGGGCGGGATCGTGTGGCTCGCGGGGCAGGCGGGATCGTGTGGCTCGCGGGGCAGGGTGAGCTGGTTCCACAAGA